AGCATCCAGCCGTTGGATAATAATCATTCATTGTGATTATTTCACAAAGTATATTTAAACCATTTAGTTTAATGATACATCGTTAGCAGATTTTGTTGTAATATTTGTAAAACGTGCGAAGTTGCAAAAGGAAGTTGTATGCTACACTCACCTAGTATGCAAGAAGACTTGGGGGTCCATCCCCAGTACCACAAAAAAAGAAAATTTATTCATAAAAATAGGTAATAGGCTGGATTTACTCCACATGCTCTGATTCACTGACCCTTAAACTAAACCCAAGTTTGCTGCTTATGCAGTCTTTTAAATGTGCTCTTCATGTATGTTGTCATCCTTTTTAAAGATAATACCTTTTCTTTTTAAAGATAATGCACTCCACTGTATTTTTCAAGAGTGATTCTATGTATAACTCATAAAATTCAGTTTATAAAATAAGATTGCTTTATTTCTCTATTTTAGTTTCCTTCCTCAAACATACTGTATATTTTGCCCGTCCTATTTATTGTTACTGAGTATTTATTTTACTCACATAAGTAGAATTTGTGTCTGTTCATTATGGTATCATCAATGCCTAGAAAGGAGCCTGGCATACAGTAAGTAGCTACTCAGTATTTACTTAGTGAGTGAATGGAGTTTACTCTGTGTGTATTATTTTAAACAGCAGATTAATTTCTCACTTATAAAAATGTGACTTGGGAAACAGGCAGGAGGATTGCAAATTTGAATCTCACTTTGGAAGCTGAGCAAGACCTTGTCTCAAAATAAAAAAGGACGGGAAGTATAGCTCAGTGGTACCACACTCTTGGGTTCAATCCCCAGTATTAGAAAAAAGTTTCATGTAAGTTCATTCTGACAGTTTCACCTGAAAAATCCATACATTTTTTACATTATTTGCTTTAATAAATTACATACTCTATATTAATATTTTTCCATTTAGGAAAAAGTTTCAATATTGTGATTACTCATTCTTTTAGGATAGTTTCACTTATAACAAAATGGATTAAAAGAATTGCTGGCTTCATTTGTATTTTATTAAGAAAAATAAAACATGAAGGTTGTAAACTTAATGGGCTTAAAAAAAAGATGGTGGCCACAGGACTAAAACTTTCAATAACTGAAATTAAGAGACAAAATTAATTGCAGTGTATGCTTCCTGTGGAAAGAGAGCTATGCTGGTTGGGCACAGTCTTTTATAACACAGTTGCCTGAGTCATACCTCAGTTCATGAATGTGATTCTTTCTGTGATTCTGCTCGCAAACCAAGTTGGGTGAGAACAGAATAAATGCAATGGTTAAGCCGGGCATGATGACACACACCTATAATCCCAGCACTCGGGAGGCCAAGGCAGCAGGATTGCTGTGAGCCTGAGACCAGTTTGGGCTACCTAAGTGAGTTGTAACCTTATTTGTGAACTTTGGCTCAAGAGGAATTGTTTAACAATTGCTCTTTGGAATGTCTTCCCCACCCCATCCCACACGCATTTATTTAGATTTTTAGTCTTAACAGCAAGAATTATTTATATAACTTTTTTGTAAATAGTTGGTTTTGATTGTGGTACTTTTAGGGGCTCATGCTCATCTAACAACATAATATTCTGTGGGAAATTTCACTCTTTTTGTAAATTTGTGTAAGTGTGGTAGTGTTATCACATAGCTGTTTCATGTGTTTATTTCATAAAAAAGAATTACAGTGATCCAGTGGTAAATCCAACCTTTTATATTAGGATTAGGTACTAGACTAAAAGTATACAAAAGCTATACAACCTTTTATTTTCAAACAAAATCAGTGCTATTTAGAATGTTCCTTTGGTAAACTTAAATATAATGACATATGGGTATTTTAAAGTAAGGCTTTGTCCTCAAGATATTCCCCAATTTCTCGTTTGGTACTCTCATGAGATTTTTAAAACTTCATTTAAATTTAACTGTTATATTTAAAAACAAAACCAGATGTAGCACAGATGTAGTCACTTCCATGCCTAGGAGGCCTTTGGTGCAGTGTGCAGGGTCAGTGGGCTGTAGCACTCATCTTTTCCCTCCTGCTTCCTTTCAAGCTCCTGGGAAACACCTAGATGCCCTGTACCTCATCTTTGTCTCAGATCCTGTTCTCTAAGTAGAATGGTTTTCCGCTACTTTCTGCCTGGTGACCTCCTCCCTTATATTTTACCTCTTTTGTAAATTCTTCTTGTGCTCAGATACAATTTTTCATTTGTCAACTCTTACAGATCACATTGATTTGTATCTTTACTTAGGTTTTTGTGAAGCAGGGAATATGTGTCTCCTTGTTTTTAGCTGGTACTTCATAACTAATTATGATTTTGTGTGTGTGTGTATGTGTGTGTGTGTGTGTATACTGGGAATCAAACTCAGGACCTTGCACTTACCAGACAGGCACTGTGCTGCTGAGCCCTATCCCCGGCCCTTAATTTGTAGTTGAAAGTAAATTAATATTGAGAAGTGTTGACACTTTTCCAAAATTGCTTTTTAAAAAATTCTGTCAGTAGACTAATTAAAAAACATTGGTTTTTTTAAATGGCTTTTTTTAAAAGCAGTGAGCCTGTCTTGCCTTTGAGGAAAGTAAAGAAGAATGAAAATGAACAGTGGAGCTCCACAGAATCTGTGACTTCCCCAGTGTTTCAGCCGGCCGGTTCCCTTGCTGGTGGTCTACTACAAGTGAAGAGCGGTTGCAAGTTACATGACAGAGATGAAGATGAAGGAAGGTAAAATATCTGTAACTATTTTATTTTCCTTTAAAGGAATGTTAGCAGGAATTACTTTTTCTGGAAATTAAACAGAACAATGTAGTCGACAGGGAAAGCAAGAGAATACCCAGCTACATTGTTGCTGCTGAAAGGTTTGTTAAGATGAGGACAAATGAATGTGACTAGGAACAGTTTCAGGAGTTGTCACACAGGAAACTGACTGCTGTGGATGAGTGCAGACAACGCCTCAGATAACTTTTACTGGGAAAGGCAGGGAAGTAGGTGTTACAGAGCAATGTGGCGTTTAAGAGTTTTTTCTCTCTTAACAAGAGTCTGCTTGCATACTACTAGAAATGACCTAGTACAGAAAGACATGTTTATTCATTTTAATTTTAAAAATATTTGCAAGATTCAGAAATTATTTTGGTTATGTCTGCAGCCATACCACCCTGAACATGCCCAATCTCATCAGAAATTATTATGGTTATAACCAAAAATATATGATAATATGGATTAACACATTCACAATGGAACCATACATGTGTGTCTGTCCAGTGCTGCCCAATAGGGCAGTAATGCATGTAACACACCAGTGGTTCAAGCTGGTGGGAAATGTCACAACATACAGTATACTCCCATGATGTCACAGTTCAGAGTTCCCAGCCTCACTCTTTCACAGATTTTTCCTTAGAACCTAACTAATAATTTTTCATGGAATCCCTCACAACTTCACAGAATCCACAAGTATCCTCCACAACTTTTTTTTGGCAGGAGGTTTGCAAATAGCCAATCTAAGAGTGTTATTCAGTTCTTCTTGATGCTAATTGGTTGCTGCCCTGTAACCCTTCTCTGCATTATAACAGGTTGATATACTGCATGTAGCTGTCTCCATTGTTCTTGGATATGTTCTTCTTAAACCCTAAGATGCTGTCAAAATGCCTTATACCTCCTAAGTTTTTGTTAATGCAGTATATTACATAATTGCAGGACACATAGCATATTTAGGGTTTAAACTATAAAAACAAGCATTTTTAAGCATTTTTCTGACCATATCTGAAATTTGTGGTTTTTCACAATTGCAAGTGCTCTGGGAACATAACCCCTGCAAATTTCGGGGGTCCCTTGTACTGTGAAATGTTCCTAGGTTTAAATTCTTACCAGTTTGAACCTGGGCAAATTACTTGGCCTATCTTCACCAAGTTTATTCTGTTATAAAATATTATGTTACCTACCTCACAGAATTGTGTTTAACACATATACAGTGCTTGGAATAATGCCTAGAAGTTACACAGTAGGCCCTGAAAAGTTAGCTCCTATCATCATTAAAAAAGGGTTTCCTTGATATAGGGACCTAAGAAATGTTTTCTAAATGGGTTTTAGTGCCTATAAAAATTTGGTTTGGGTTTTATTAAAAATGATGGTTAAAAAATGGTATTTTTTTCTATCAATGTAACAGTTTTCTTCTATTTTTCTGTAAGAAAGTTTGATCGAAATTTAATTATTTGTTATAATATTATTAGTAGTAGTATTCTTTGTCCCAAAAGTGTTACCTTTTAGAGTTGAATTCCCCTTCTAGAAAATTATATTTTAAATAGCCTGTAAACTTTATGAGCAGGAGAAATGAATTACAAATGCTGAAATTTTGTGTACAAAGATAATAGTTTTATGTATTTGTGTTTTATATATTTACTATTTGCCTGAAGAAATTATATGGTTTTGTTTTGTTTTGTTTTTTAGGTCCACAAAGAAAACATCTAATGAAAAAAACAAGGTATTGTAAAAAATAATCTGAAGTAGTATATTATTGAAAATATAACATGAAAGGTAAAGTGATACATTATAATAATACACAAATACAATTAAAAGAAACATAAAAAGTAAAGTGGAAAAATAGAGAATCTATTGACACTTACTTCAAAAAAATTGTGAAGAAACCGTAGTCAGTACTTGTGTTTCTCCTTAAATAAGAAGATATTTACTACTTCTGTATTTTTAGTATATGGTATAAATATTTTGGGGACATTTTGAAATAATATTATTTTATAGGTCAAAAAGAAGAAAAATACTGTGGACGACCTTGATGACTTATCCCAGTCATCTGAAACACCCTCAGAGGATAGTGAGTTGCCTTACCCTAAGTATGAGAATATTTTGCTGCTATTTGAACAACTGAGAATGGAGTGCAAAGGTAGGACCAGTACGAAAACGCAAGGCATTCCAGTGGATGTTGTGGTAGTGGGTGTCCCCATTGCTTAGCAATGTGCCATCGAGCATAGATGTGTTACATTGCTATTAATGCTGAACCACGCTTCATATTAGCATACGATGAGAGATATTGTACACTCCAGCCTCAGAGCACTCAGATATTGTACACTCAGCCTCTCTTAGTGTGAGTGGCATTCCCAGGCTTTTTGTTAACTGCTTCTCTCCTGTGCCTTGATCATTATCAAGTTGGCAAGCCATAATCTCTGCCTGGAATACTCTAATTAGATCTGTTTCCTTGTAACCCACCTCCTAAAACCAAGGTCTACTCTGTAACCATAACTGTGTATTTTTGAAGACTTAGACCCAATTGTGTTAACCTCTTGCTGAAAACCTATCATTTCTCCTTACTGTAAGGTTAAAGATTTCACTCCTCCATCTTCATCCTTCAGCACTATGGCTTAGCTACTGGGTTATATGTTCTTTGTTTTCAGTAGCTGTGGAGGGTACTGATGACCCTCACATATATAAAGTGTATAATTTGATAAGTTTTGACACGTTAAACACATTTAATCACTACAATCAAGGTAGCAAGTCAATCACCCACCAAAACCTTTTAATGCCCCTTTGTTTTCCATTATTGAGAAACTGCCAAATTGTTTTGCAGAGTGTTTTTACCACCTTCCATACCCAACATTGGTGTATGAAAGTTCTAGTTCCTCTATATCTTCACGAACACATAGTATTGCCTCTGTGTGTCTGTGTATGTGTGTAGCCATTCTAATAGGTGTGTAATGAACCTTTTGACTTTTGAACAAAATACATGTTTATATTGGTTGCATTTAATTTTCTCAGTAATATTTTGTAGTTTTTAGTGTTTAAACTTTTCCATATTTTATCAGATTTATCTGTATTTCAGGTATTTTGATACAAGTATAAACTTTTAAAAAATACTTCTATTTTAATTAGTACATATAATTATATAGAATAATGGACTTCATTTGTCATATCCATACATGGGATATAATGTACTTTAATCATTTCCACCTTCATATTATCCCACCCCTTAATGCGATGATCTCCGTCCATTTTCTTGCAAGTGACATGATTTTGTTCTTTATAGTTGAATAATATTCCATATTTTTAAATCCATTTTTTGGTTTATGGGTACCTAAGTTTATACCATAACTTGGGTATTATGAATTGTGTCACAATAAATATGGGTGTGCAGTTATCTTCATAATATGCAGAGTTTTAATTCTTTCAGGTGTGTATGGAGGAATGGCACCGATGGATCAAATGGTAGCCCTGTTTTTAGTTTTTTGTTTAAATTATGGTCTGAGTACAGTAGGTGATTCACATTCTCCAAGCCTGCTTTGTATAGTAGGTGGTGACTCATATTTAGTGAAGCCATAAAACCGTCAAAACTGTTTCACATGGAGACCAAGTACCCTGCATTAAAAGATAAGTCTTGGGGGTTTTCAAAAGAAAACAATGTGAATGTGAAAAGAAACAGTTATTGAAGATCATCGCTTCATCAAATGTGTCTAACCTGAGAGCATCATTCTCAGAGTAGATAACCACATTGTTAAGCTAAGAAGCCCTTTAATGTTGATGGAGAGTTGATCCTGCCTCTTTCTAAAGACACTTACTGTAAACTTTTGGGAGACAGTGCAGTTCAAAAGGTGGCATGTGTTCCTCTTTCAGCTAGTAGACAAAATGATAAAAACCAGGGATACGAGGCACAACTGTTAAGAGAGGATTAATAGGTCACCATGGTGCAAAACCCAGGTTGATGAGTCTACTGATGTTGATAACCAGGCAACAAGGTTGTTTTTGTGGGATATATTTCTCAGGAGTATGTCCAAGAGGTTATGTTATATATGCTTTGCTTGCCAACCAACACCACAGCTGCAGAACTGTTCAAGTCTTTGAATGATTATCTATCTGGAAAATTCAGTTGGTCATTTTGTGTCATTGTATGCACAGACAGAACAGCTGCTATGATGGGGCGTCTTTCTGGTTTCACAACTGGAGTCAGAGGCTACTTCTGAATGTGAGACTACACACTGTGTCGTCCATAGAGATGCTGGCTAGCTCAAAATGCCACCTGCACTTAATGTTCTGCGGAATATGATTAAAAATATCAACCACGTTAAAACACATGGCCTTAACGCATGTCTGTTTTGTATAGCTCTGTGAGGAGATGGACACAGAGCACACGGGTCCACTTACATAGAAGTATGATGGCTTTCTAAAGGAGGTCGCTGGCCAGACTTTTTGAGTTATGAGAGCAGCTCCAGAGATTTCTTGTAGAAAAACAGTCACCAATAGCATCAAACTTCAGAGACACAGAATGGGTCACAAAACCTGCTTGCTCATGTGGCATAGTCCACCTACTTCATGACTCAGTCTGTCACTTCAGAGGGAAATGACAGAAGAGATTGATCATGGATGAATGGGGGCACTGGCGGTGATAAATGCCTCCGTCTCGATGCTGAAGAGAAACAGTTACTGTGAGCCAGGGGCAGAACAAAAGCCTGATGTAGGTGATACACAAAAAGACAACCCACCTGGCCTAAAGTCCAATGGGAGAAAGGAAACCAGTCCACACCTAGACCACACTATCCCAGCTGCCACCCCAGATCCTGGGTGCCCACACCACTGGGAAAGAGACAAGCTGACTGGGGAAGGGAGCTAGCTGGCCTTTCAGAGCCAGTCCAGTGTATTAAAGCCATGGTCAAATTGTCTTCTCCATTAGGCATGAGAAGGGTAACTCCAACCAGGGACTCAAAAACAGCTGAAAACAGAACAAGGCAAAATTTTATGGTGAACCTGTGGAACACTGAAACAATCCAAAGAGGGCAGTTTATTGCAATCAGTGCTCATGTTAGAAAAGCAGTGAGCTGAAATAACCTAATGATGAACCTTAAGATACCCAAAAAATAACAATAGTCCAAACCTAGTTTAAAAAGGGAAATCATAAAGATCAGAGCAAAAATTAACAAAATTGAGACAAAAAGAACCAACAAAGTGATGAGCTGTTTCTTTGAAAGAATAAACAAAATAGATAATCCCTTGCTGAACTTACCAAAAGGAGGAGAAAAGACTCACACCAATGCAGTTAGCAATAAAATCACAGTATTACTGAATTCTGCAGTTCTATAGACTCTTCCAGATCCTTGGTGTCCTGAACGAAGAATCAGACAAGATACACAAAAAAGATAGTGAAGCCTAACATTTATTAAAGATAAGAAAAGAAGTATGCTGTGCAGAGTAAGAGCAGGCCACTGAGAGAGTTTACAGCAGCCACAAGGTTAATGACAGAGAGTTTTGTATTCCTCATTCTTCAAGCTGGGAGTAGTGGCGCATGCCTGTAACAATTTGACCATGGCTTTAAAGCACTCGGGAAGCTGAGGTAGGAGGATTGTTGCGAGTTCAAGACCAACCTGGGCTACAAACTGAGCTCAAGGCCAGCTTGAACTGCAGAGCAAGACCCTGTCTCAAAACGACAAGGTGACATCAGATGTAGGCCAGCCTATCAAAAACCAGCTTGATGCTGCACCAGAAGAATTGAAGATAGCACTTTCTCATTGGTCCCAGGTGTAGGCCTTGGAAACTATATTCTGTGCATGTGTCCTGGATCTCTGTAACTGACAGGTCATGCCCACTAGCTCAACCAGATGGCCATGCAGCAGTCTTCTATTTCAAGAACAGACACAACCAAAATCGAGAGGATCGCTAATAACTACTATGAAAAATTGTACTCCAACAAATTGGAAACTCTTGAAGAAGTGGAGAGATTGCTAGAAACATACAAAAGTACCAAAACTGCACCAAGAAGACAGATTATTGCTAATAGAATAAAATAGAATGCAACAAATCATCAAAAAGATCATGCATCATGAACAAGTAGGTTTCATTCTAGGGATGCAAGAATGGCTCAACATTTGCAAATCAATAAATGTAATTCACCACATAAAGAGAAGGCAGGACAAAACCACATGATCAATCAATAGATGCAGAAAAAACTTTTGATAAAATCCAACACCCATTCATGATAGAACAATTCTAAACAATGACAATGAAATTTAGGATAAATGTCATTGACTCCTTAATGAACATAGATGCAAAAATCCTCAATAAGATAGAATGCAACAAGTTAGAATGTAGTGGAGTAGCTTTGCACAGTGGCAGTATCATAGCCAATGACATTTATTATCAGAAAATGGAAAGATACCCCTTGTTCCTGGGTGGGCAGAACCACTATTATCAAAATGACCAGACTTCTAAAACTGACATGCAGACTTAGTATACTACTAGGGGCTGGGGATTTAGCTCAACGGCACAGCGCTTGCCTGGCAAGCACAAGGTCGTGAGTTCGATTCCTGGGACTGGAAAAAAACAAACAAAAAAAGATTTAGTATACTACTAGTCAAAATACCAATAGCATTTTTCACACAACCAGAGAAAACCATCCTAACATTCATGTGGAACAAAAAGAGGCCCAGAGTAGCAAAAGTGATCCTGGACAACAAGAGACAGGAGATACCACAATCCCAGACTTTGAGTTAAGAAAGAATGGCAGTCATCAAGAAATCAAATAATATCGAATGCTGGTGAGACTGTGGTGAAACGCGAACCCTGTTACATTGCTGGTGGGAATATAAATTAGTACAACCCTTATGGAAATCAGTACGGAGATTCCTCAAAAAACTAAAAATGGAAACTACATTTGACCCAGCCATTCTCCTTCTAAGCATCTTCCCGAAAGAGTTAAAGATATCATAGCCATACATGCATACCAATGTTTATAATGGCACAATTCATAATAAATAACTCTCGGAAGCAGCCTGTGTCTCCATCAACAAACAAATGGATAAAGAACGTTTGGTATTTATACAAGATAGAATACTACTTAGACACATTATAAAGAAAGATAAGTTTGAGTCATTTGGAAAATGAATGCAACCTGAAAACAATGTT